GCGTTGTAAAAGCCGAAATAAGGCATCATTTTTTACTCCAAGGGGCATAAAATGTACATGGAATTTTCTGTCAGGAAAAATTACTAAAAGAATTTCAAGGAGCTCTGCCTAATGATCTAAAGAACCTTGAAAAGATTTTACAAGCCAATAGTGGTAGAAAGGGGTATTTTGTTGGCAAAGAGGTATGCACTGCCCAATTTTTTTTCAGTTTGCTCAAGGCATTGGCGGATCCAGACCTTCAGATAAGGAGGGTGGGGGGTGGGGCTGGTCACCCAGAACCTGAGATAAGGGCGGGGCCCCGTCTCAAAAAAAATATTTTTTCAGCCCTTCGGGCCTCATTTTGGTCTAAAAATAAGGTGGGGGGAGCCGGGCCCCCGGGCCCCTCCCCTGGATCCACCACTGCAAGGTTTCTTTACCCACATTAAGACAGAATCCACCAGAAAATTAAGTAATTTGAATTGTCATTGAACAGAAACCTTGTACCAGAATAATTTAAAGAATATTGCATTCTTTTTCACATTTTTCAGGGGTTAGAGATGTAATTAGTTATCTGCAATAACACCAAAGAAAATTTCTTACGGGAGCCCGAGAAATAATTGTCAAATTTCACAAAATGACATCTTACACATAAAATTTTCCGAATTTTACCCGTGTTTTCAAATTTAGCCAAAAGCAAATTTCAACCAAATGTCGAAATTTCATATTGTGAAATTTTGAATGACTAATAGCATCATATGTAAGAACAGGCAGAGACCTTTTATTTGAATGGTCACATCATAGGATTTCGTCCACAGACCCAAAAGTTAGAAACACCTTACAAAACTCCATCAAGCACTCTAGCAGTGAAAGAGTTAAAACTGGTATTTTTTTTTTCTTTCCAGCTTAGCTATGCAGATATTTCTTTCTTTGACTTTATGAACAGCTGGGCTGCAAAAGACAAGATCAACAATTACCCAACCGAATTGGAAGATTTTCCTTTGTTACGAGGGCTTTACAAACGCGTCCGTTAAGCAACGTCTAGAGACCAGGCCAGATACAGCTCTGTAAAAGAGTGGAATACTACCGCATTTATTCGAATAAGCGCCCAACCGCGAATTAGGGCCCACCTCTAATAAGCGTCCACCACCACCCCCAACCCCTCCTCCCACTCAAACTCAAATAAGCACCCACCCCCACCCCACCCACTTGAGTGACAATGAGATTGAAACTGAAATTGAATAAGCACTAAAAAGAAGACTTCCCGAGGACGGAGTTTTCTTCAGAGTATTTTACAGAAACCTTCCTTTGTTACTTCTTCGCGTTTTGTTATTAGCTTTTATTGTTTTGTTGTAAAATAAACATACTACACTTGCTGAAAATTTAATAGGCGCCCATTCTCAAGGTCCAAAACTTTAATAAGCGCCCAAAGCGGTTAATCGAATAAATACGGTACTCCCTATAATGGCCTATACGGGGAGGTTTCGACCCGGCTCCGTTTTTTAGGCCTCACGGGTATACATGAAAGTGGTAGGGAATTTACGAGTTGAGTATATGAAAGGAGAGGGAAATCTGTCATAAGAGTATTAAAAAGGACTTTTAATTAAAACGTTCCGAAAATGCAGGTAGGTTTTGCTGACTGGTTTGAGGAATTTAAAAGATTTTCAAAATTCGCGCCAAAACCGTTCTAAAAATAAACTGGTCCGAAACAAAGGGCGTGACATGAGCGCCCGGAAGTTGTTGGTTCCGGGTTATGGGCTCCTGGGACTCAGCTCCTTTAATGGTAGCGGGGAAAGGAGGTCCAAACCTACCTGATTCTAGCCTGTTCTAGGTCTTCAGATAGTAGAGCGCGGGAGAAAAATTCACAAAGAAACATAAACGAGGGGAGACTCCTTGGTTTGCCCCTCCCCCTGAAAAGTACTGCCGTGGTCAGGTTTTGGAAAACAGGCGATGAATCTTGGATTGGCGGGTATTCGTCAAATTTGTTCATTCGCTTGAAACTGATCCGGAGTGAACGTTCGTTCGTTCTTGGCGATCCAAACTATCATTTGTTCTCGAGAAGATAAATAGATTTAGATTACGAAAAGCAAATATCGGCTCTTGGAATTCTGAATTCAAGTAACTGTTGGCTCCTTTTTAAAAATTGCTGGAAAAGCAAAAATGTTTTGAAAACACCCAAGAAAATCTCGTAGCTGCTGGTCATAATAGTCTGAAAACAGGACTGAAGCTTTGGGAACAGTTTGAAATCAGTTTGTCGAACAAGTTTTGAAATAAATTTTGGACCGGATGTTTGAGCGATTAATTTAAAAATCATCATGTCTGGATCAAAATTTCGGCATTTCTAATAATCGTATCGATAGCCAATGCCAAAAGACAGCACGAATTGTCAATCAAATGTCATATAATAATTCGCATTTATTCAGTAGGTTATCGGCCTGAAGCGATGGGGTTATGAGATATACACCTTAATAACGTTGCAATAACGTTGTCATAGGAGAATGAAGAAAAAACAAAATGTAAATTGTAAAAATCCAAGCAGGAATTACTTAGGCTTACTAATAAACCAGTTTAGCGTGCACTTATTTGCAACATACGCGAACAGCCGTCGTATTTTCATTTTTTTTTTTTTTTTTTTTTTTTTTTTGCCCTAAAAATGCCTCTGTAGCAAATTATGAGAGAGAAAGAGCGCATTGGTTTACACAGATATAACAGCGATGCTCAGGTTTGGAATTTTCAAAACCGCTTTGGGCAATTTGAATACGCCCTGAGGCTAAGCAAATTTGTGTGCGAAGTCGGGTTCCCACGCATATATGGCAACTTGAATTTCCATCACAAACAGTGCTCCAAGTGCTTTGTGTGTATTTACCCAGAAGAATACGCGGATCAAACGTATCACTCACGACAGGAGCCTGTATGGGCTACTGCTCACGGCCATTTCAATTTATTCACAGTGTTGTCAATTTGCTCGCGGTAATTAGCCACTTTAGAAACGAGAAGGGAATGAATTCCTTGTCCCTATAGTAACCCAGAGTCCCAGGGGTCTTTGCGAAGTTAACTCGGCCCAGTTTCCTTCACGATAATTTTCGCCATCTTTAAACGATACGCGCAAGACTTACTGGGATTTATTTGTAATTCCGCTGACAAGTAGGCTAATCAATCCGTGAGATATAATTGTCTTGAGATCAAAATTAAAATTGCCGTGAACAAATTGAAATTGCCGCGACATGGCCTACTAAGTGTGAAAAAAGTGTTTATATGCTAAAAATAATTCTGATAGTCTCACATTTGTACTTTACACTTATGCACTTTACACACCCGAAGTTTTAAAGGGGGAGACGCTGCCCCGAAGTCCAACCCCTTACTCTTTAATATACTATTTTTTACAGAAAGGGTACCCCTTTCGTATACCATCTATTGACAAACTTAGTTCAAAACACGCATCTCTTTTTACTGCTGTAGATGCACCAAGCTCTAGACCAGGAAGTTTTCTTGTCTCTTTCACAACCTACTAAAGTGTCGCTTTCTTATATCTGAAACCTGAAAAAGGTATCCCTTTGGGGCGTAGTCTCCCCGTATAGGCGATAGGGAGAAGCCTCCCCCCCGCCTCCGGGGCCTAACGAAAGTTAATAGGGAGTTTAAGCAGCGACGTTTTTAAGGGTCGCATGTCGACCGGAAGTGACTTTTTGCACTCTTGAGCCACGATTTCGAACAAATTTTTGGGCAAATCGTCTCTTATTTAAGAGTAAAGACACTTAGCAATACGGATAAGGTAGCGTCAAGGCGTATTAAAAGAGAAAAAAGCTCACTTCCGATTGAGGTGCGTCGCTCAAAAACGTCGCGTAACTACAGGTAAGGCTACGGAAATAATTGTACACTAAAAAAGAAAAAAAAAGGTAACTTGAGTTCAATCTGTTCGTAGTCACCCTTACCAAGACCCATACTGAATAAACGGGGCATCAATTCAGTTAGGATCTTAGACATACAGACTTACACTGTTCACAGGTTGCCATAACGACACCTGAAGGAGGATCATGAGGTATAACCCACCCAGCCCAGAAAAGGTTGGCCACACCACCGGGATCTACTTCCCCTACTTTTTTCGAACAGTGGTGTGGGTTCTCTTACGTCCCACAGATAAGCCGTAATTTGAAAGCATTGTGAGATGGGAAAAAAGGTTTTTCGTCCTTATTCGAGAAGAATAGAAAGTCTAATCGTTTGCAGATGTCATTACAAAGGCAGCACTTTCTTCTCAGTTTTTTCAAGACCCCGAATTTTGGTCCGGCCGGGGTTTCAAACCTCGACCTCCTGCTCAGCAGAGTGGCGCTCTCCCAACTGAGCTAACCAGTCGGCGGTTGACCCAGCCCTAAAAAAAGCAAGTAATTGACCTGAAATGCCAAAGACAACCACACCAAACAAGGAAGCAATCACATAACCATAACCAAAGTCAATGAAAAGCAGCTTCCCTCGTAGACGTTCTTCTTGATCACGCGTTCCTCTGTACGAACGCACGACCACACCTTAGAATGAGATTCCATGTTGTAGTATTTGTTTCCTGTTTTATCGGTAATTTGTGCAATATCGTTTTCTACTACTATTACTACTACTACCACGACCATCCGCACCGCCACAACCACTACCACCACCACCACTACCACTACCACTACCACTACCACTACCACTAACACTAACACTACCACTACCACTACCACTACCACTACCACTACCACTACCACTACCACTACCACTACCACTACCACTACCACTACCACTACCACTATTACTGTCACTACCACTACCACTACCACTACCACTACTACTACCACTACCACTACCATTACCACTACCACTACCACTACCACTACCACTACTTTACCTACTACCACCACCGCTACCGCGGTGAGTGAACATTTCACCGGATCAAAAGTGTCTTTAGTTTCAAGTGGATGAGAAAGTAACGCGTGTTTTCCCGAAAGGGCAGTCATGCTAAATTTCAGCAAACGTGATTGATGTCCTATTACTGAGAGTCAACGCCTGCACATTACAATTCTGGAAAATGCTCTTGCAAAGAATCTGTTTATGGTGCCATAACAGAGAGGATGAATTGCACCTGGCAAGCAGGTTAGAACATAAAAATAGTTGCGCAAAACTTCATGAAAGGGAAAGCGCCAACCGCTAGGTCCTGTTGTGTATTCCCACAGAAAAAGGGCTTGGTATGGAGCATAGCATACTACAAATGAAATGATAATCACATATATCATTCTCAATAAGTCGAACTCCCGTTCTGCGCCGGTCCTGCTTCCTCTTGGCTGCTTGTTGTATTCCAGTTGTACCTGCCAATCAGATCTGTTCGATCGACCATCGTGTGTGTCTCGGCTTTCATCGGAGTACAGCGAAAGTCGTGTGCGTTCAATGACGTTGTGTCGGATATGGCGCTTGATTTTCAGTGCAACAGCGCCGTAAGACCACGATATGATCAAGTAAGGAAATAGAAACGTCAGTGCAAATCTTATCATGTTGTATATCTCGATACCAGAAAATTTTGACACGCACACTTTCTGACCAGGTGGGTATTCCATTAGAATCCTTGTAACAAACAAAGGAAGCGAAATTGAAAGTGCTAGCACCCACATAACTCCAATAACCGTTGCCAAGGTTATTTTGATGTTATTTTCTTTCCAACTGAGGTTATGGTAAGAGCACGATAGCGATACACTGCAATAGGCGCTAGGTTGAAGGTGACTACAATGGTTGCTAAGACTTGGAGCGGGATCAGTAGCTTACAGGCGAAATCGCCGAAGATCCAGGTATACTTTTCTTGATACGTCATCACAAATGGCTGGCATATTGAGCTGATTACTTCTGCGACAGCCAAGTTTGCTACCAAATAATAGGCGAAAGGTTTGCAACGGAGATGCAGTCCGATCACAGCTTTCAAGACGAGCGCGTTACCAACCAAGCTTGCCAAGATGATGAAGGAAAAGAGCACCGGTCTAAATACTCGCGATCCATGCGGTTCTATGTAGAGGTGCACTAGTAAAGGTGCCTCCGTGGAGCGATTGGTCTGATTTCTTACGTCCATTTCATTGCTCTCTTTCAATTAGTTACTCGAGTAGGGCTGGTATTTCCTCCTACAATAAGAAAAAAGAAAGAAAGAAAAGAGATATGTTAATTTGCCTAATGTTTTCTTCTTTTTTAGGTCTTAAACTGTGACTCAGTTCTACCTTTTAATAATACAGTTAAGGATGCATGTTTCTCGTTTTGCCTGCAGTAACCTTGGCAATAAAAGTGCTGTAAAAGCCCGCTCCAAACGTATTCGTCCTTACAAACGATCTGCGCCTGAAAAGATCCTCCGTTAATTGAATCGTTTCCGATAGCAACTGAGGTTTGAAGAGTATCAAGGCAAAAATTGCGTCAGTTAGGCACTTTCTAGTGCAATTAGTATCGAGGCAGCTACGTCAAGAAAAGATAGCCTTATATAAACAACGTCCGAAAAAATATATGATTTTCTTGTCAAAAATGACATTTTCTGTCAAGGCTTTTTATGAAGAGGTTAAACATGCAAAAACTGAGAGGAACTGAAAAGCAAGTACTCGACAGCAAAAGCTGCAAAAACTCCGCGAGAAATACAATGAATTAAAAAGAACGAAGAAAAACATTGCTCGATGTAGTTTTTAGACGCTTTTCTTTCACGACTCGTTTATAGTAAGGAGTTTTACACACAGCAGATTGTTAACAAAACATAATACGGTCAAACTTGTGTTAATTAGGTAGAGCTGTGTTTAGCGGTCAACCACTGTAAACTCGTTATTCTAAGGCCATTTGGAAAACCACCGAAATATTACTGACTTCCTAACTAAACTACTTGTGACAAGAGGCATACCTGACATAACTGTTAACCGCTTATTACACCAACAAATTGTAGCCATTCGAGCCATTCCGAGCTGATTTCGTAGACAGTTTGTGGGGCCAATGTTTTGATACAGAGAAACTGGAGCTACACGTTTAGCAAGAGGTGCACTGGGCATCGTTGGTTGCAATTTTCGAACAATAGGAGGGCGTGGTCGATCACGTGATTAGGTAATTTGGATTTCTTTTTTCAAGTTTTTTAAGTTTGTTTTACTTTACCATCTATCGTTCTTCAAGCGTTTTTGAAGACTGGTCAGTGACTGGAAGAGGGACATTAAAAGCGCCTTATTAGACAGTGTAATCTCTAAACTTGAAGCTCATGGAGTTTAATTTACAAACTGTTTCTTTGAAGATGAAAACACTAGTACAGTTGACCACCGATAACTCGAACCTTCAAGGGAAATCCAAAAGAGTTCGAGTTATCGGGAGTTTGCAGAAAAAATTTTGACCGGAAATAAGGAGATAAGCAAATAGGATGGAGAAGGAATGCAAGTATCATGGACTTGGACAGACAAACTGAAAAGTGAAGACAAAGAGTACACGGTTGTTTTGAAAAAAAATATGGTTCAATGTTTTGGACTGCATTACACTGTTTTTTTTTTCTCGACTTGTCACGAGCTTAAAAAGTGGTTCTAGTTATCGGGGGTAAACTATATAGAAATGATCTGAAGGGTTCGAGTTATATGGAGGTTCGAGTTGTCGAGATTTCGAGTTACCGAGAATAAATTACAGTTTTTGTGTGAAAGAAATCCAGGGGAAATTGATTTTGGTATGAGTTATCATGAGTCAACTTTATATGAAAAGCCTTGTTTTCACAGATTCATCATACAATCCGATCTCTACAAGCCAAACAGTCAACAATGTGTTCGCTCACTATTCAGATATAGCTTCTAATTTAGGTTTGAGAAGTAACAGAAAAGACTAGCAAATCATCCTTATTAGCAAGCAACATCTATATAAATGAAGAGCAAAATATTAACTAGGGTATCTAAAAGATAGTAATGCTGCGGCACATTCTGTTGATACTGGCATTAGTTACGCAGCGAGACTTAAAAGAATCGAAAATGATATTGAATGTCCTATTTACATGTTGGAAAGTACTAGAATAATTACTATCAGTCTATAGAAAGAACTCGTGGGAACGTTGTTTAGAAAATGATCAAGTGGTTATAACTCTGGTTTTCCCACAGTGAATTGTAGGAAACAATAGAAATTCAGATTGTTTATCCATATATTTAATATACGGTGCACGATATTTTCTCTGGAAACACAATACTTTTCTTGCTGTTTGTTGTACTTTATTAAATAACAGTTATTTAGCTATATATTTATAGAAAACAACTACACAAAGAACGGAAAAAAAAGAAAGAAGGAATAATGAATTCGGTAGGACTCGAACCCTGCACCTTGGGCTCGACGCGACTACACCTAACCACTACACCACAGAGGCTAAATACGTAATTTGTAGGAAAAGTCTTGATTTATTCCCTTTCCAGACTTTCCATGAAACTTCCGCCGGCAAGATGATCGCCAGCCGCATTAACCGAGCTATTAACAGTGAAAAAACAATGTAAACGCATATTCCATGGCAATGAATGAATGAAAGAACATAATTATGCTTTTCAAAACGCCGATACACGTCCTCGTCTGCAAAGTAGGACACAAAACATATGTTTTGTTATCTCGATTTCCGCTGTTATTTTGCAGCGAATGGTCAAAATCACATCCATTTTCGGCTCATACAGTTTCTTAAGAATAGCACTGCATGACATTTTCTCACTTTCACATCACCTTCTAGCAAGCTGGAATTTGTATATCCCTCGTGTTACGGAGTCGAAGAGCAAATGCTCATCGTCTCGTCAGGTTTAACACCTAGACGAGTCAAAGGCTCTTAAATTGAAATCCAATCCCCAAGTTAACCATCGTACTCATCTGAAAGACTCCTGCGTGTCTTAAAATTTGGTAAGACCTCTAACCGTGCTGTAGAAAATTTACCACAAAGAAAACTCTAAGTCTGAGCAGCGAACGATGCACTCTCTCACCCACCGAACTTCCCCGTGTTTTTATTTGAGTTGTTCGTGGCGCAATGCACTCTGCTTAAATATGCAATGCATTGTGGTAAAAAGTGATGAATTCGAGAATTCTTTGCCCCTTATATATTTCCTTTAAATCCTGATTATGTTGCTGCTCGCTCCCTTCGGTCCCTCCGCAGCAACAATTATTACGTTGTTACGTGACCTAACTTCATTGGTTCGCCAGGCGTAGGCTTTTAGATTGGACAGCAAATATCTAGAGTAATAGATAGAGGACATTACAAGGCCGCGCTCACTCGTGAAATATTTTTTTCAACACGAGAAGAGAAATTTTGTCTCTCCAAGCGACCATGTAAGGTTTTATTTATTAATAAACACCAATAAAATAACAAACCATTTTACTTCAATAGTTTTTGGGTGTGAAAGGTGCGATTTATTATGTAGCCATGGCAACGATGATATTTCCACGTGTGAAGATACCGTAAAATTCCGAAAATAAGCCCCTCCATGAATAAGCCCCTCAAATTATAAGTCCCCCAAACGGGTGACGCTGATTAGAATTAAATCATGTTGTTTGTGACTCCTTTCGCCAATTCCTTGTGGAAATGGTTATGTGGACCGCGGTTTGGTGCTTTCTTCGTAATTTCCTTTAAGAATAAGTTCTGACCGGTCAACGGTTTTCTGTTTTGTTTGATTTCAGGAAGTTAAATTTTGTCAAATTTTCGACTTTTCATTTGTTTGTAAGTAAGGAGGACAGGTATAGTAAAAAATTTAAAAATACGTTAATAAAAATAAAGAAACATGTTTATTAGTATTCTTTATATAATTATAGTGTTAATCATAATAGATGTTCCCTTATATATTTCAATCATTCAGTGCCGAATTCAAAGCCTAAATCAGGGGCACCCATGGCCAACGACTGTTTTCTGTGAAATATCTGTTCGGAGAAGCAAATATTGCCTATAGAATTTTCCATTACTTGAGGACGGCTAAAAATTTCTCCATAACCGTTCCATTCATGTACAAATCCCCTAGATTTTCTGAAGCTGAATTTGTCACATTTCACTCCCCAAGTAATGCTATTTTCGTAGAAAAGCGAAACCTAAAACTTTCGGATTCAAAAAATGTGATTGAGAGAGGAATCAGAAAAATTTTCACATGATTCGTAAAAGGATAAATTGCATCTAAAATTTTCGGGTAAAAAAATTCTGAAGCCCTTGTAATTTCGAAAAGACGCAAAGTCCCCTGGGTGACCGAACAGAATCCAATCAGTTTATACCGCCGCTTAGAATGTATTTCTTGAGATCTAAAACTACTCTGGATAGCCTAAGAGTGTTTTCAACTTATTTAGAAGGAAATCAACTTTGGGTGCCCCTGCCTAATAGCCCCTGACTTTTCAGTTTGCAGATGATGCAGATGGTAATAGTCAATTGCACAATATATCTACTGAATATTAATGAGTTTTTCAAGAGTTAATAGTTTCCAGTGCCGATAAACTTTTTCCAGACAAAAATTGTCATCATAAAGTTTTTAGTTTGGATGGTTCAAAGGACAATTCCAAATTTGTCTGCTTATGCGGATCGGCCCTTAGATAAATTAAATCCGTCATTTTTCAAACTTTGTTTGTAACGGGACAATCTTCAAGGCGCCGAGGACAAAATTTGCTTTGGGTAAAAACTGAACACAGCTCG